GGGTGGCTGTGGGGCAGGAGGGGTCACCCCGGGGTGACACCGCGCTGGCCACGCCGTCCCGCTGGGGCAGAGGGCTCAGCCCCGAAGCGAGGGGCGAGGGTTGGTTCTCGACGCCGCAAGAGGGGATCCGGCACTGCCGAGGTTCCCCCATGGCGTTCGCCAGCTTTGAGGCCATTCCCAGGCGGAGCAGCCCGGAGCAGCCGGCAGCCCGGCTACACGTGGTGCTGAGGGCTCGGAGCAGGTCCTGGCCGCTGGCAGGGATGGGCCCAGCCGGGGTGACACCGGGGTTTGGGAGGACACCGCAGGCGCAGAGCCCAGCTCCGGCCCTGCAGCGTTTGGCATCGAGACCCTCCCGTTCAGCATCGAGACCCTCCCGTTCGGTAGTGGGACCCTCCTGTTCGGCAGCAGGATCCTGACGTTCAGCATCGGCATCCCCAGCTCACGCTTCCTGGCAGGATGCGCCCGGCACGGAGGAAGCAGCTGGGATCCTTCATCTGCTCCATATTTTCATGTTCAAGGATGAAGCAAAGTGACCTTTGGGACTCTGCCTTAATGGTTGCTTTAAATGGAGAACACCGCCTCCCACGGTCTGCTTTGGGACCAAACTCAGGCCTTTTTGCCATGGAAATAGCTGATTCGGGGACTAAAAGTGCCCTTTCCCAGATCCCACAGGCCAGCTGGCCCCTGTACCTCAGAAAACATGTAAAAACCAACCAACCACAAAAAAAAACCAACAAAACTTTTAAAGCTGCAGATAAGAGAACAGTCAGGTTTCACTGGAATTTGGGAAACCGGTTTTTGCAGCTCCTCAGCTCAGGCGGCCCTGAGCTCGTCGGTGCCCTGGGGGCTTTGGCATCCTGATGCCCAGAAGAAGAGCAGGAGGAAGAGGAGGAGGAAGGCTGGGGGCTCCAAGGTGCCTCTCAAGGGGGATTGCAGAGTTCATTTAATGCACCCACAGCACTGCAAGTACCTGTGCCCTTGGCCGAAGCAGCAGTTCCCCAGGTTTATCTGCTCAGCAAATCCACCTGCGTATAAAGGAGCTGGAAGGGAGCTCTGGGGGTTTTAGCTGAGCTGCTGAGGGCTGCTCAGGCAGCAGCACCTCACTGAGGTGAGACAGGTATAAAAATACAGCCCAGGACTCCCAGCAGCTCCTCAGCTAAAGATGCTAAATCCCGCCCGAGCAGCCCTGATCCTGCTCAGGATGGATGGAGCCATTTTAAGCAACAGTTTAAATTAAGATATCTTGGCTTGCTGAGCCCACGTCAACGTGCAGGTTGTCACAGCTTTGGTGTCCAAAGGCTACCTCAGACCCGGAGCAGAAATCTCTTGCTCGCTGCAAAGGGCAGGGGTGATTTTTCCACCGTCTCTGGCCAAGTTTTCCTTCCTGCTTGGAGCCGTGATGCTGCCCAGCCCCAGAGGGACCCACGGGGAAGGTCTGAGCAGCCCCAGGTAAGGTCAGGGTATGGTCACAAGAGCATCCCTCATCCCCAGAGCGTGCTTTGGGATGTCTAAGAGGGGTGGGAGAGTTTAATGGGACTGTGAAGGCTTTCTTCCTTTCCCAGCAGCGACCAGTTAATGATTGGCTTCTACTGAGAAGCAAAAGGGTTTAATTTCTGCTGCCAGGCTGCAGCTGGTTTGTCCCTGCCCCAGGGCTCCTGTACCAGGGCTGTGGGTTGCCCCGTGTCATGGGGTTTATGGGGCTCCTTGGGACTTGGGAGCTGCTCCAGCCTCCGCTCTCCTGCTGCTTGGTCTGGATTGAACCCTTCTCTCTGTAACCGCTCTGGTTCTGCTGCTGGGAAAGGTCTTTGCAGCTGCTTTGACGTGCACCGGTTGAGTGGGGAGGGCACCGTGGGAAGGGCCCAGACCCCGGCCGTGGGGAGCTGCTCCCCACCTGGGGTTTCCCAGCATCCAAGACCCCGGTGCAAGCGTTTGCCCGGGGGCAGAGGCTGCAAACTGGACCCACGGGCTGTGCTGGTGGCTGGGAGCCAGCCGAGGCTTCCTGGTGGGGGGAGGGATGCCGGAGCCCGCGCGGTTCCCACACCCACTCTGTGTCTGTGCAGGGGGGAGTGAACGGTCCGGAGTGCCCCCTCGTTTCCCCGGGAGAGGCTCCTGGCCCCAGGCGGGGTTCGGGGCCAAGCTGGGCTCGCTCCCCCCGGCCGGGCCGGATGACAGATGCCTGCGGTGGAGGAGAACGCGCTGCAGCCCCCGCTTCCAGCCTGGATGCCTCCGACCCGGAGCTGCACTATGAGGAGGAGGAGGAGGAGGAATCGGAGGAGTCGGAGCCCTCAGACACCAGCAGCATCTTCTCCGATGACTCCGTCTACCCTTGCTACGAGCTCTCCCTGGGGGCTGGTGGTGCCAGGGACCTCAGCCTCTACCAGTGCTGTGCCAGGAACGATGCCAAGCTGGTGCAGGAGAGGCTGGAGCACGGGGTGACCCGGAGTGAGGCCACGGAGCTGGACATCAACGGGAGGGTGAGTGGCTGGGTGGGCACCCCGTGGAGCAGAAAGAGGAATTCCCTGGAATAGGCAAATCCTGAAGGATGGTGGTTGCTAAAGCAGGTGGGGCAGGAGGGAGAGTCCTGGGTGGGACGGCCTTGACAAGGGATGGGTCTCCTGGGTGTGATCCAATCCTCGGAGCAGAACCTCCTCTGTCCTCCCATCCCGGGCCTGTCTGGTTTGGGGTGGGAGGGAGAAGCAGGGGGCCGTGGGGAGCACCGCGGTGGGGAAGACGGTGCAGTGCCGGCCCCAGCCCTGAGTGCTGCCCCTCTCCAGAACGGGCTGATGGTCGCCTGCTACAAGGGCTTCGTGGACATCGTGCCCCTGCTGTGGAAGTGCCCCTACATAAACGTCAACCAGCAGGACAAGGATGGGAACACGGCCCTCATGATGGCTGCCCAGGCAGGTAGGCAGGCGCCTGCGGGACAACCCCCCTCGAAGTTCGTGGTTCATCTTGGCACCGTTTTAGAACCGCGTAGATGATGCACAAATGGAGATTCCTACAGCAGCGCAACACGTCCCACCCCAGCAGCCGTGTCGAGCAGCAGAGCCGGGCCAGAGCTGCCCCACGTGCTCCAGAAAACCCCCGTG